GGCGGGGGGGAGAAGTGGGAAGAAGAAGAAGAAAAATTGCAACCTTGGCTGATTTCAAACAAAACTACTGGGAGTAATTCCAATGTATACAACAGGACAGCAAGACAACAAGGAAAAAAACCAAACAAATGGTGCCTATTGGAAGAAGCATAGACCCCTGCTATTAATAAATACAAGTCAGGACAATTTATGAATAAAAGTTATAGTTCTGTTTAACCATTTAATTCACAAATGTCACTAAAAATGTGCAATTATAGCACGACTATGTCAAACTGAGCATACACAGAAATGGGGATTAAAACTGAAACTGAGTCAAGAGACAGGGAAAAAGATATGCTAGCTTAGTTCTGAACCATATTTTTTTGTTTAAGCAATGAGTTTGTTTAGCTAAGTTAGAGTACAGAAGGTAATGATTTGACTATTTTTTTCAAATAAAGTACAATGAAAAATATTTCACTTTTTGTTTGACCAATACAATCCCAGTAATATAATTTATTGGGACTTTCTTTAGGCCTCAACCTAAATCTTGATAGCAAGATACAGGAAGGGCAAGAGCATATGTCTCCTGAAGAAACTCGAATAATATACTGCCCTTAAAAGGCACTTGTGCTTCTGCTTCAGACAAGAGTCGTTTTTACACAATTTCTTTATGAGGATTTAGAATTTGTTCTGGCTACAAATGGTTTTCTGGGACAGCCCCGCATTTTCTCACGAAAAGTTGAAATGCCTTTACCCCCTCCCCCCAATAAGTTAAACTCTACAAAAGACTACTATGAGTCTATGACAGTCAACAGATTTTCAGAAACGACAGTGAAAAGAAGATCCGCATAAATCCATAAGAAAAGAACAACTGCATATAAAACCTCGGAAAAGAAGAACAAGTATTTTTATATCATGAATATGAAATCTGCTGAGAAGTTTCTAAACTTTAACATTAAACATATGAAGTTATTTTCAGAATGGTGTGAAGTTTTAACAAAACGTCACGTAGTTTTGGAGCACGGTTACCAAAAATTAGACTAGTGTGTCTTTAGAACATCTAGGACACAGTGCAGGAAGTAGTTATACATATTTAAAAACAAACAAACAAAATCTCTGTGAGTTGCTGCAAAGCACGTTCGCTCCGTTACGATGCACAGCATCACTGGACAGACCTGGCTACAATATTTATCTAGTGTTCTTACTCTCCGTGCCAACAAGCTCCCTAAAGCAACAGTTGGAGTTGCAGGATCAACACAAGTCTAATGTCAACCCTTCAACTGCAATTCAATGGGCCGATGCTTTCAGGTGTGCAATACTTGTTTTCTGTCGCTTTTCTTTCCCAAATTTCTTTAAGTGGTAGAAATGTCTGAGTAACCTGTGAGAAATCACTGTAGGAACTTTATGAATGGAATGTACTAAAAATACCTTGTGTGCAGTTCTGAACTACCTTGTGAACACAGCGACTAATGTGGCCAAAATGGTTTCATATCAAGCATGAGGAGATGAGGACATTGTGTTCTGGAAAAACAAAAGCGAAAAGGAGGAAGCAAAAGTCTGCACTGGATTATCATCCGTTCTCTGTACACCTCACACAACACAAACCACTCAGGGACTCCCCATCTCATTGGCTGAGACTAGGACAAACTTTAGTTTAAGTCATATAGATTTTTTTTCCTCTATATTACAGAGCTATTAGTCACTTCAATTAAACGTATACCTTCCATCCATACTGAGTCATTAGAAGTCTCATCTACCTTAGGGGTTCAGTGGGCTTCTATAGCACTACTCTTGGAACCAGTACAGCATGGTCAAGTAAATAAGTAACCACTTGGGTCCACCACTCCCTTCACGTTGATTTCTGGCGATAATGAAGCGTCAGATCACCACCACTCTTCCAAATGAAGTGCTTTACAGTTCGAAGGTCCATATTCGGATCCAAAACCTAAAGAGGAAAAATTCACCTTTTATTCTACAAATCTGCTAGATGGTCAGAAATTCAAAGGTAAGATACTCCGGTTGGGCAAAACAGTCCTATAGGTGAACTGGTGTCAAAGATGAACCATGCAAAGGCTCACATTTTTAAACCAGCAAGTAAACCTGCTGCCTTGCTGAAAAATTTTACCAATGTAACATGTAACTTCATATTGCAAACACCTCCTCAATCTGCATACACTCATTACACTTAACAGACAATTCATGGTTTTGGACAAATTTTAAACTCTGCTAGAAATGTAGAATTAATTCAAAAATTGCTAGAAATGGAACTCCATGGAATTGTATTCGGTCCATATGTTGAGTATGAGTAAGTAATCCTACAAAGTCTACTGGTTAGAACCAAATTAGACATGTGTACTACAGAAATTCTTTGATCCAGCTGTCTGCAACTGTCTGAACTTGTGTCAGCAGTCAGTTAATATGATCATAGAATCATAGAATCATAGAATGGTTTGGGTTGGAAGGGACCTCAAAGATCATCTAGTTCCAACCCCCCTGCCACAGGCAGGGACACTCTCCACTAGACCAGGTTGCCCAAAGCCTCGTGCAACCTGGCCTGAACACCTCCAGGGATGGGGCATCCACAACTTCTCTGCGCAACCTGTTCCAGTGAAAACATTTACTTAGTTTTAAAGGTAACAGATAATCTGCAGCATATTTCGAGCTCAGTATTCAGAAATTCACAACTGATTCATTGGTAGACAATGCTTTGTTCCCAGGCTAAAACACCCAACTAACTTACCTGGTCCTGGCACAGAAGTTCAATCTTCTCCTCTGCTAGCACAGCAATGTCCTCCTCTTTTTCTTGTTCTCCTGCCTTTTCGTTATTGGAAGAGCTAGTTGTCTGAGACTCATTATCCAAGTTTATGATTTTCTCATACACGTGTTCCATCACTTTTCTCACCTGAAGCATATCACTTGCCGACAGTCGGTCTCTAAATAAGGTAAGCAAAGTTTGGCAGGAAAAAACTTGAGAAACTGTACTTCTCCTCTTCAGAATACCTTAATCTATAGCAAACTATGCAAGTACACAGATAAGCTCTTTATATAATAAGTTTAATGGTAAATTATCAGGATCGTCCAGAATACCATGATCACATCAGCTATTTATCCAAAGATTCACAGAGCAGTAGGAACACAGTAAGATATTCAAAAAACTAAACTAAAAATCAAACCTTAGATGAAGACTAATTGTACACAACCCTCATTCTTTCAATAGAAAAGGGATTAGCATGAGAAGGATAAAGCTTATGGAGTAACAAAAGAGGTAAGCCAGAGTATCCTGTTCACCCTATGTTCACAGAAGGGCATTCTAAAGTACAAAGCAGCAGCAGTTTTTCCACAAAGTGCACAAAAAGTCTATGAAGCTCCTCTTCACAAATTGTCTCTGATGTAAAGAATTGAACAAGACTTAAAGAGGAACCAGGCATTTGTAGAAAATACCCCAAATTGTTGCATATAAACTGTAAGCACATTGTCTATATGACAGTGACTTAATATCTGAGGACCTGCTTTGATTTCTGACCTATATAGCTCCCAGTTATAGCTAATGTGATGGGCAGACTATCTTGCATTCCCTATTGTCAGTTTTTGTACTTTTTCCTTTCAAAAACCTATTATTTGTCACAATTAGAAACAGGAAATACAATATATATATTATTAGCATATAATATTATTATTAATAGTAACAACAATAACAATAAAATAATTCATATATGCATTGCTTACTTTTTTAGAGTTTTTGCCCCTGATGATGAATGAGGTTGGAGGTAGAAGGGAATCTTATTGAATTTGGGCATATTTTTCTAGAAGGAAACAAATTTGAAAAGTGTTATTTTAGGAAGAACTGTTATCAGCTCCTATCTTCATCAGCTGGTATGTGAAGTATATTCAGCTCCTAATTATCAAAAACCAAGAGAGATTCCTCATCAACATAACCACCACAGCCAACTTCTAAATTACTCATACTCCTGACATACGTCAATTTAGATGATATGAACGTATTATATCTAGCTTTTGAATATAAATTATCATTTATTTCAAAGGCAATTAGATAGCATCAAAAGACTGCAGCGATATGAAGAGCATTCTCTGTTCCTGAGCTCCACACTCAAAAAAGGATACCAATTATGCATAGTGCTTTGAATCTTTTTCTAAGACTTTCTGTCAAAAGAAAGTGAGCAAAAATACCTTAACTGGACACATCAAAAATAATAAATCTCAAAGGGTTCTTGAATATAGCGCTTGAGATCACTTATTTTAAATATAAAAATTTAAAATGCCATTTCAGATTCTGTACAGTTAAAAAATTTGTAGTTGACCTTAAAAAAAAAACAAACAACAAACAATAAAAAAGCAAACTCTCTGCACTGGTACTCACATCCACAGTGATGTCAATCACCCATTGTGGCACAGTTTCATTAAGAAGCATAGATTCAGTTTCACCACCTGAATCCCGACATAACAACCTAAGACATACAGAAATAACCTTTGTGAATGAAAACAATTATTGTAATGTGCACTAAAAAGCTTTCAGGAGAGGACTTGCCCTTTTAATGGGCAAGGAGCTTGGACTTAGTTAGCTGGTCCTTCACATCATCAAACTTATTGAGAAGGCAATCATGTATTTTCTGTAAAGATCAGAAAAAGTAATTGCAGGAAGAAGACAGATCCCTAAAGCACAAACAGGGAGGTGTCTCAGGAGACCATAGACTATGATACAGAGGAATTTAAAAACTAACTGTGCTCATGGATTGCATATATTGAGTGCTGAAGCACAAAACTGACAGGAGAAGGGGAAAGGCACCTGACTTAAAACAATTATTTTCTGCCTGGAAAAAATGAGCTTTGCAGGTAAAGCGTCTGCTAAGCTCTCATCAAATGGAAAGAATAAAACCAATTTTAAGAATAGATTTTGGGCCTATTCCTCCTGGGAAACAAAAACAAGAAATCAAACATCCCCCACCCCTCAAATTTAAAATCCACTATGTCAGTAAATAGTAAACGTTTCACAGTATTTGAAAGCTTGGCATTTTATTTGCAGCACTATTAAACTGTCTCTGATGTATCCTACATCACAGGCTTTTCAAAGCAGAATGAAAAGAAATAGAAGGGTAATCAGTACATACACAGAGCTGAGGACCTTCTAATGGGTCATCAACTACACCTTCAGGAGCAGAAACCAACTCTCTAGTGAGCAGGATCTCCTCTCTGAGTCATTAATGCTCAAAGACCAGCACAACAGACCCATAAGAGAAGTTCTACAAGAATGTGAAGTAGCACAATTTCATTCCAAAACTAAGTTCAGCTGACCAGTCTGCAGGAAGAGGGCACCCAAAAAGACCTCAAAGCTATCACATACAATTAAGAACAACTGTAGGACTGTAAAACCCCACACCTTGTTGATGTTGAAACTCACACACTCAGTTGGACAATGCGAAATTATCATTAACAGCTGCTTATTGTGCCTGTCAAGGGTGAGTCTTGAATGTGCAGCACAAAACCGATGCAAGTATTACATTTTGGAACCATTTCTGCTTGCATAAAGGAAGTGGCTGTTTAGCCACTGAATTTACACTCCTGAGTCTTTATACCTGAACAAAGTGCGTCCTCCAGCCTCACCAAAAATAACCGGTGTGTGTGGTGGCACTTGGAAGTATCCGTTTCCTTTCTGGACTCTGTTCTCCTGCTCACCATTCACTGTTGGGAAAAAATATACACAACAGTGAGAGTGCACTAGGCCTTAAAAATTGGGTATACATAGACCCAAAAGTGTCTTTTCTATCTACACCTGATGTATTTCATAAATTAACAAAACCACAAGCTTCACAAAACCCAAGGAAATCCCAATTTTCAACACACAGCAAGTACATTAGAAGGAATACTAGAGAGTAATGAGATCAATACAGGTTTGTGGAAGGCCTATTTCAAAAGCCTTTAAGAAAAGGGCAATAGAGCTCATGAGCCAAAACCTGATTACTAGTTTTCTCTAGTTCCTTAACAGAATTCTGAGGATTTGTCAACTGTGCAATAATAATATTAGAAAACAAAGAAAGCGATTCTGCTGAGACGAGACTATTTTCCCCCCCTACACTGACAGTACAGAACTCTGAAGGATGTTAGCTTTGCTCTTCTGCCTGGATTTCTCAGATGTCAAAACAGTTAACCAGCAAAGCTCAGACTCACATTTCCTTGAAGTTACTGCATTCTAAATTCAATTTATTTTTAGCTAGTTATAGCAGTACGGTCTTCAAACACTGAAGAACCTGATTCCACATCAGATGCTTAGGATATGATTAAAGAAAAATCAGCACTATTTATGCACCACTTGAAGAGCACAGCTTCTAGTCATCATTCAGGTATCTCGAAACACTATATACAAGTATTTAGGTGCCTTCCTTTCACTTGAGAAAGATCATCTTGATTACATTGCAGCATCTAATTACTGTATTTGAACACGATGTTGAATTCAAGCAATATAAGAAATTTTAATGGCATAGTCTCACAAGATGAATAATTCCTCAGCTTTCTGACCAGCAATACATGTAGTGAAAGAAAGGTAAAAAAATGCATCAAGCAAAGAAACCAAAAAAAGAAAACCTATTCTCTATTAGAAGGGATAAATAGGATACTGAAGTTAGAGCAAGTGAAAAATCCTACAGTTCCAAAGATTTCTTCACAACAGTTCTGTTAACTGAGAGGAACCACACTGCACACATACACACACATACAGAACGTGAAGTTCAGTTCTGGTCTCTTTACACACGTCACTGTCCAACAGCTACACTTTATCTTAAGTCACCCTTCAGTGTCAGTTCTTAATTGTTACTTTTGCAAGGGAAAAGGAAAACGGATCCTGTAGTGAATATCCTAAATGTTCCATTAACTCACAACCATTCACAGAAACAAGCAGCACAGCATCAGCGTTCCGACAATACTGAGTTCTACTTCCCATATTTATGGAAGTTCTAGTTCCCATAAACAGTTTCCACTGTCTAGCTTTCAAGCTGCACACTGCCAACACACGAAAGGAAGAGAATCAGCAACTTTATCCAGAAAAGCCTGCCAAGTGCTGTAACCCTCCATGGAGATCATGTTTGAAAGAAGAAAGTAGCTAACTCTTGGCACAATCTTTGTCACAAAATGGCAAGATATTGCTGAACTTACAGTTTTCTTAATTACATTATTTGTAGAAAGTAATTTCTTAATCGCCAAAGGTAAGACTTTTCCGTCAATTCTAATCTGGGTTTAATTCATTTCAAAATAATACACAAATTTAGGAGTTATACAGTCTTTTGTTCTGCCAAGTTCAGCCACTATCTTATATTTTACGTAGCTGTGCATGATTAGACTTAGCATTATTACCTTAAACCACCATGCTACACAGTGGTTTTGTATAGATTTACCCCATGTATTAATCTAATATCCACTGAATATATTTTTTCCTAATAATAAAATAAATACATTTTATTTCTTTTATATTGTTCATAATAACTAGAACCAAATTGGAATTATGTCAAGAGAATACTGGCTAATGTTGAATAACTGAACCATTGCTCTTTGCTGTCATTATCTAGGCTGTTTCTTTTCCAAGTCAAGCCTTAGTTTTGCCAGTAATTGTTATTCATCAAGGCATCATGCTTCTGTAACTTTAGAATCATCTATTCACCTACTTTTTTTATGGACCAGAGTTCTGTAAGATTTTTACGGACACTTTCAGAAGAAGGAAGCTACTCAGTGAATTTTGGTGTAAAGCAAATTTAAAAGCATTAAAAACCATGAAAGTCTATAATGCATTCAGAGACAGTTAAAAGACAGCAATTCAAGTTGTATCTGTTAAAGAAACAGAAATATAAACAAACAGAATGCATGAACAAAGCCTAAAAAAGGAAAATACTAAAATACGAACCATGATTTATTTCGTTTTCTTCCTCATCCATCGGATTGATGTGTGTTCTAGGCCAATACTCTAGGAGTGCTTGTAGCAGAAGCCCTCCAAGGTTTACTGTCAAGACACAGCAAGGTAGGACTTCAGTTACATAAAAACCATTGGCATCATAATGTTTTACATTTGCCCCACAGCTGAAAACATTCCCAAAAGTTCGAGGAGTTCTGTTCCCAAAACAAACTACTTCTGGGCACAGAAATCTGCTTATCACACTCTCAGAGCTGTATGTTACCATCTTTCAGAAAAAGCTCGTTTTAGAATCGCTACTGTTGGATGACTCACATGCTGTAACGTTCTCTAGATGTGGTAATAGTTCCAAGTTCAAGAATATTCATTTTTCCCTTTTGCTTCTAAATGTCTAAAACCAAGTTAAATAGAAAACCTGAACGTGACTGAAAATGTTTCAGAAAAAAAGCAAACATTCTCACTGGAGAATTCTCTGTAGAATTTAGTCTCCAGAAAATAAGCCCTAAAATCCAACCAGCTACTGACGTATCTGGCACTGGAATACTTTGAAACACAAATACTGGAATTTATTCTGCTTTTTTGTCTCAACAGAGCACTAATATTACTAAAAACTTACATTTTGGATCAGAACCATCTGGACTGCTAAATCCAGCATCCTTTGCTGAAACCCAGGCTGCAAAGCAGTCACTTTCATCCAAAGTAATTGTCAACATCTGTTGGAAAAAGACCACCAGGAAGAGGAATGCAATAGTTGTTTTGTATTAAACAAGACTATAAATTTATTTTGTTCATACTTAGCTGGGAATACAAAACAAAGGATTTCTAGATGCATGATAGCACTCTTTGTTTACCAAACTGTATTAATTCAGAATTGGTACTGGTGGATTTAAACTGACCATATCATCAGAAAAAAAAAAACAAACAAACAATACAAAAAACATCTGTTATTCAGATTATTAAGAACAGAGGTAAAACTTGCTGGTTTGCTTCAAAATAAATCCAACCTATCAGGTAAGTGATGACCATTCTTCAAAACCTATAACACACTAAAACCTTTGTGAACAAACAGTATAAGAAAATACATAAAACATGACATTAGAACAACAGATTTAGGAGTTGTATCTCACCCCAGTTTTTAAGTCTACTGAGAACCAGTTTGGCACATACACCATTTTAAACCTCTTCTTAATTTCTTCTTCAAAATCTACTTTCCCAAGGTCTTCAACTTTACATGCCTGTACACCAAAAGAAATACACAAGCTTTTAAATTTCAAGCATTGAGTCATATCAACATCTCAGATCTTTTACTTGACTTTCATATACACTTGGAATGATTACAACTTCCGATTTCTCCGTGAGTGCTGGAGTCCAGAAACACACAAGTTAATTGTTCAAATTTTTCTCAAAAAATTGAACAATAGTTTATGTGGTAAGTAATTTTTGGAGGTTTTATTTATTATTTATTTCTGAGGTAGTAGCATCAAGCCAGTGGAGAGGTATGGAAGTATTACTTCACATTAACAAAACCCACTTTCCCTATTATTGAGTAGAGAGCTGTCTTCTAGCATCATCCTCTGTCATTCTTCTCCCCATCAGTATCAATATTTCAGTACAACTCTCCATCAAACATCAATATTTGTTGCAAATCTAGCAACAAATTCAGCTCAACTACTGCAATGGGAGCAGCAGTGAGTGAATTTGTGTGCAGATTCTTTTTTCCCATTTCAGTTTATCTCTTTTATTTTATACTTTTATTTTCCCCAAGTAAGTCTGTTAATACCCAAATTCTTGTAATCCACTTGCAGAATCATCCTGAAACCTGAAACACATGCTTTAAGCAAAGTCTAAGGATTGTAACCCTGCAAGACTGATTTCCTCAAAATCCAGGAAAAGTTACTGGAAGCGAAGACTGAAGGGTGTAGCTACTGAAAAGAAAAACCTCCCGCTTTTCTTCCAGTCTCCTCAATAGTCTCAGCTTTAGAGTGCAGTCATCCTACACATAAGATGACACTTTGACCTGGCAAGTAACCCCATCTCTAAAGTGAGTTCGTATTTAAACGTATTTAAGAGAAAGAGAATTGAAGGGAAGTACAAATTAACACTAGTGATTTGAGTTTGAGATCTAGCACTGTACTTAAGTATTTACCAACTGTAAACCAAAAGAAAGAGAAGCTATTCGCTTTTCCACAAAAGCAATCTAGATCATTTTCAGTACAAATCTACATTCTCCAATTTAATTCCCTCCTTTCCCATTTCAGTCAGTAACTCAGTAGGATAGCTGAGTGTGCTTTGCTGCATTACTGAATCTTGGCTGGAACACTGCGTAGCTCAAGATGAAGGAAAGATTTAGAATTTCACACAGGGTTTTGCAAGAGAAGAAATTGCTGACCATCTCTCTGATTTGAGATTCTAGTCCTTTCTCTCTGCACTCTTTTCCCTCTCCTCTGATCAATCATTGGGTACAGCAAGTTAAAGAAATGCCACGCCAAGCCTCTCCTCACAGGAGCAAGCGACACTAGGCGGGAGCCATGCTTCCTTCTCTTGATTTTCCTTCCAGTCCTGCTTTCCTGCCTGCTATCTTGCCAGCTAACAAGGGAAGCAGTCAGTTCACGCTCTCAGACTACCTCGCAGACTACTAGTCAGCACGCACGCTTGGGATCCGCGGGTTTGCAGCGAGACCTGAAGCACAGGTTTCCCTTTTGCAGGCTAAGCTTCCTTAACGCTATTCCGTACCACATTAGGTGGATATGCCCATGGGCATCTACAAGCCTTCTTCGAAAACAAACTCAATCAAAACAAACATTACTCCTTTCAGGAGAGAATTCAAGGGTCTGAATTCCAGGTGAATGAAGATGTCATAGAATGGTTTGGGTTGGAAGGGACCTCAAAGATCATCTAGTTCCAACCCCCCTGCCATGGGCAGGGACACCTTCCACCACACCAGGTTGCCAAAGCCTCATTCAACCTGGCCTTGAACACTTCCAGGGATGGGGCACCCACAACTTCTGTGGGAAACCTGTTCCAGTGCCTTCAGTACTTCATTGTCAGTACTTCAATGTCAGTACTTCACTGAATTCAGGCGAATGAAGATGTCCGCCTCAAGTCAAGCAAAGATGCAGAAAAGCTCAGAAATGCTCTCTCCCTCTCAAAAAGCAATCTTTGCATTATGTCTTGGGACAGAAAGATGACTTACTTTCAACCATAGGAACCTCAGGAATTAAAAAAGTATATAAAAAAAGGTACAAAATAATTAATCATCCAACAGTAGACGGTTAATCTGAAATTATATACTTACCTTCAAGACATCCCAGTATGCCACATTATTATTTGTGTCTTTGGTTAATATGTGTCTCTTGTCGTTAAGAATGTGGCACTGAATAATACTAGCACCCCCTAGCAAACAAACAAGAATTAGAGTCATTACAGTGATTTTTGTTTTCCTAATATCACATTAAATTAAATGGTATAACACAACATGAGTGATTCCTTTTTGGTTTCACTATTTTAAGTAAGACTTGGGTATCACCAAGGTTTAAACACTACTTTCACTGTAACTAACACTAGGCAGATAATAACTAGATTGTCTTTGTTTTGGTAGAAATCTTAGTATCAAGTATCTAAAAACTTGAGCCAGTCTTAAAGATTCACCATTTCTGCTAATGATAACAGATTTTATGAGGGACTCTGGAAAACAGCTGTTTACCTTTTATAACTTGGTCAGGCTGTGTACATAGGGGTGGTATAGGATTGGTACAATCATTATCATAATCTCCAGATGCTCTAAAATTATGAATTCCCTTCAAAGTCTAAAGAAAGAAACAAAATAACAACACATTCATAATAATCTATAAACTGTAACAAACTGCCAGTTCATGCTATTTAGATGCTAACCATGATCCAGTGCTGAGTAAGATAATTTATTTCTAAAAGCAGCATAAATATATAGCAAAGTAATTAAAAGCTTAATGTCTTTTGATCAATTTCAATGCTAGCATTTTAAGTTGTTTTTTTTTTTTTTAAGAGAGCTTACAGATCATACCAAGTCACAGCCAAATTGTGAGCAACAGTCCAACAGTTCCCAAATCAAGACTGCAAATCCCATGACTACTTAATTGAATTCACAGAGTGTAAAATATATCACTTACCCATTTATTCACAGAGGATTTAGTTGTTGCAACCCAAAGTGCTGGAGGAGGATCAGCTGATCTATCAAGTTCCATCTAAATAATGAAATCACAGACACTTTCAGCCACATTTAACTTAATTTTCCTTTGCTGAATTAATATTTGCTCTGTGTAGACCTGCTCCCATACTTGGATGTATCTCAGAAACAGCACTACTTTCAGTTTACTAAAGAAATACAAAGTTTAAATGGAAAATAACTAAGCTGCAATTTTTGAAACTCCAGAGAAATCGTTTCAAATATTTAACAAATAAAGTCTGGACATGAAGAACAGTGGATGCAATGTATCTAAACACCTGGTATTTAAAGTTGCTTCTAGCATGATACAATCTTGTCTAATGAACAGTTTGATAAGCACAATATTTTCTGAATTGCTTTGCATTCAAATACTCACATGATTAAAAAGAGAATGCAAGAAGTTTTGTACTAATTAAAAAGCAGAACTTTCTATGTTTCACTCTGCTGTTACATTTCTTGGACAATAATGAATCACTGTAGTTAAGATATTAGAGACCCCCCTCTGATCGTTGTACAGCTGACCACAGTTCTCACTTTTTATTTTGAACTGAAATTTCTCAGATTTTTCAAAACTACATTAATATACCCAGGACTTTATCTTAACATACTAAGCCAACAGAGTTCACTCACAAGGAAAGATAGATTTCTTATATACTGGTATCTGTTTCAGTTGCACATTCCTTGTACACCTACATGTTCCAAGGTTATGTCATCCAGGCTACAGAGAGCAAAAAAAAAAATCCAAAAAGCAGTCTCTTCAGAAGACTCAGACTTGTGCATGCAGTTTTCTTGTTAAGAAAACATCGTCTTTAAGTGTTCAAAAAACCCACAATAAATTTTACACCTGGTTCCCATGAGCATGCATGCTCATAGTCCTGTGCATGTGTATCACTGCTAGGAAACACTCATTTTTGTCCAAAGCCTTGGCAATGCCAGCTTAGTTTCTTAAAACCACGCTACAGTTGGGGAAAAAACTTTTCATGTTTTAAGCATATTGAATTTCAGTAATATTTGAATTTGCATATTTTAGGTAGCTGCCTGTCATTTGTCTTCTTCAGGCAATTAGGTCTCGGACGTAATTTAGGAGGCAAAGCCAATATACTGAAGATGTGAAGTAGTAAACACTTCTTACCCAACATGCATTCTCTTACCAGCTTACACCTCAAGCCACTATTTCAGCAGACAACACGCAACACAATTACACTTTCGTACTGTGAGGGTGACTGAGCAATGGAACAGGTTGCCCAGAGGGGTTGTGAAGTCTCCGTCATTAGAGATATTCAAAAGCCACCTGGACACAGTCTGGGCAACCTGCTCTAGGTGGCCTTGCTTGAGCAGGGGTATTGGGCCCGATGACCTCCAGAGGTCGCTTCCAAGCTTAACTATTCTGTGATTTTCTGAATTAAAAATCAATTACCTTAAGAACTGGTGCCTTTTCTTCACAGATTAGCACACGGATATCAGGATTTCGTAAATCTGTACAATAAATCTTCCTGTCTCTTCCTCCTGAATAAACATGAGTGAAGGCTTCATTGACCTGCAGAGCCCAAACACCTTCATCATGGACTCGATATGTGGCTATACATCTCTGCTGCCCAAGGGACCACAGGCGGATAGTCCCATCAGAGCTGCCTGAAAGACACTGAGCAACAACAATTGTACATAAATCAAGCAAGTATTTGAATAATTTCTTTCATTTTACATCATTTAAATAATTTTTTCCATAAAGAGCTTCCATAATTCTTGTGGTTATATTTTTCCATTAAGATGGTGCTCATGAAGGTAGGCAGTTAATGAATCTAGTCACAATTTCCAGCCATTTTTTGTGAACCACCCCCTCCATACCTAGATGGACCTGTTAATAAAACAGAGCTTTCACCCACCAGCCTCCCTGCCTTAATCACTAAATATCTGTAAAATATTTGCTAAGCTATCTTTTGTAATCAATGACATAAAATAGTTATTATATTGAAAAAGACTAACGACATTTCTGCGTTCTGTAAAATGCCTTTGTCTCAAGTTAGAGCACATACCTGGGTGCCATCTCTGTTCAACAGCAAAGCTTTTACATTGTCCGTGTGCCCTTTGAGTTTCATTAGTTTTGCACAAGTTCTCGGATCCCACACTCTCAGAACCTATGTAAATAAGATTTTGGATAACTAGTATGAACATCATTCTTCCCATCTATGCATTTTCTCTACAGAAAATTAAGCCTTTCCAAATAAACTGACTCTTATTTTGAACATGCAGACATTCATCACCAAAAACACACTTCATTAGAAAGACACAGACATAACTAGATCTTATGCACCTCTAACAATCAGATATGATTTTCTTTGTTTCATTTTAATTTCATTTGTTCTAGCCTTTTCTGTCTTCTTAAGAAATTAAGAAAAATTGAAGTGACTGGAAACAGGATAGTGTAATATTGGTAAAAAAAAAGATTCTGAGAATCCTCTCGGTTGCTTCACTGGTATATCCTATTGGCTTGGAAATAAAATTCTCTCAAGGATAGATTAGGTAAAAAAAAAAAACAACTTGCAGGGGAGTTTGGGGTGTTTCACCTTCTTCTACAACAAAGAGCATGGGCTATTTCTTGGGAACACTTAAACTTCACTAGGTCACTTCATTTCCTACCTCCCACAGGGGTCTTACAAATTGCTGGCACCACTCCTTTCTTACCAACTGCTTCAGTTTTTATAATCACCTGAGTAATGTGCCCCCAAAATCAGAGCTACTGTGGTGAAATGTAATGATCTCTGAGAGAGAGAGTGTTACACAAGATGAGTTGATTGTCTCTTCTGTGTACTAAAGCTATATGGATATATACACATCATGAGACTGAGTCCGGTATTTGCATCCTACATTTACGCTTCCGCTTAAAAAAAAGTGTCTACCTTCACTATTAAAAACACAAAAGCTGCTACAGACATGACATTGAACATGCATAAAATTGTCTTTGAACTGAAGTGGAAATGAACCTTACCGGATTTCTTCTTACCTTTTCAGTGGACCCTGATACAATAACTGTTCCCATTTGATTCATTGCAAGGCTGTAGATAGAGTCTTTGTTCCCACTCAGGGAAGAAGCTATTTCAAAACAAAATTTACATTTTCAATTTTAATGCTGTCATTTGAAAAAAAACATTTATTCACTCAAAAATTGCATTTTAGGGTATTTTAATACCCTTTGATCCATGAAAATAGTGCCACTCTACCCCATATATAGAGTTTATTTCAAAAAAAAAGAAAAAAAGACAGACTATAGACAGCATATTGCTGGGAAAGTCCCATCCCAATTCTTAATCTACCGCTACACAAAAACGAAGTAACCCCTCAGAATCATGGTCATTACAGTCCTGGTGCCCTTTTGGCACCACAATTCAGTGCCAGGACCATCAAGGTGCTCTTGCTCTTCTCAACTGCTTTACTAGAGAATGATACTTCTACGTGATCTTATAATACATAACATTTGGATTAAGTGCAGAGATTTTTTTCCAAGCCAAGCAGCAGTAAAATTCTACATTATATATTAAAGGCTCTTCTCTTCATTCAGCAGAGAACTAAAGTTACAGTGCAGTGCTGAAATGTGTTACTTGAGCACAGATGCTACCTCTGTGTTTGGGAAAACCATATGGCAATTCCTTAGCAACACAACTGCCAGAGTTGAGGAATTCTGTACCTTCTAGCCTAACCTACTTTTGGACAGTAATTAAAGTACCAATCCCTCAACTGGGAAAAGCACAGACACAGCAAATGAAAATGATCTATTCAGAAAGTGCCATAAGGCATTTATTTCATCAAGCCTCAAAACCATACGATCAGTATGCCAAAAAGGCCAAGAATAGCAACAAACTGTACTGCCAGCAAAAATGTGGAACTTTATATAATGATTTATGTATATTATGGAAATGAGTTTCTGACATGCTATTTGTGACCCAATATCATAAACATTTTGCAACAGTGGAAGACTTATGCGGGTTTACTTCAGGGTCCTCTGAACCACTAGCTATGGCTATCCAAATGTGAGCTTTCAAATGAAATCTATGATTTGTACCCAAAATAAAGTGACAGTCTTCCACTGTCCCCAGAGAACAGCTGAAGGCAAAAAGTAGAACTGAAAACCCACTGTCCAACAACCATAGTCATTTACGAAAGGATAATGTACAGAGTTAATCACAAGCTGGACATTAGGAATGCAAGAGAGAATCTTCAGTGTACAAAGGCAAAATTTATGCAAGAACAAAAGCAAAGCTCGACTCCACCCTCTTCTGGAAGGAGCTACCTCTCAAAAGCAAAATCTGTCTACTTAATTTAAATTATGGCTATGCTGACTGAGAGACTCTCTAAAAACAGGCTTCCTTTTCATGTTGGCTTGTGTATATTGCTTCCCTGTAATCAGACGGGAAATTAATGCACAAGAACAATCTTCATTTGCACTTTGAAAAAAATCAATGTTGTTTGAAAGGACTGAGGAAAACCAGCTTCTTTAAGGACATGTACCGTGTTCTTTCCAACAGAAACACTGTTAGTTGGGAGCACTAGAAAGAAGGAACAACTCCCTCACTTCCCCTTCCTCCCCCTCACGAAGCATTCATGTTCTAACTCTAGAAATGCAAATTTATTTCTGTCATCTTAGAGGTAACGCCTCCACTTCCGTTTGATCTTGGGCTCAAAACAAGCTCAGTACTCCCCATCTTCCAATTACAATTCCGTGGAATCATATAGGTTCTGTATCACTGTTGTGGTGTTCAAGAAACACTTTTTTCTTCCTCCCCCCAAAACTGAACTTCCTGAGAGCCAGCAAATGAATTCTTCCTTCAAAGACTCTCTGTTCAACCAGAAGATAGCATAGCTTACAGTTATCAGCAAAGTTTGGTGATAAAATAATTGTACTTTCAGTGAAATAAAACTTCTGGGAAATATAAGGTAAAACCCCTTAGTTACGTGCAGTCATGTGCCACACCAATACTACCCTGCAGTCCAACACAGCTCACTAGAAGCCACCTCTCTCCTGAAGGCTACACAGGCATGCCAGAATGAGGCTATACTGGAATTTAAAAGTCCTGTAGACAGAACAAACGCAAAACTGACAGTTCTGCCCACCAGATGCACCTTCAGTTTAGGAAGCTACCAAATCCATAAAATCAAAACACCTTTCAGAATTAGCCACAACAGTAACTCAAAAAACCACACCAAAACAACTACGCGCCTGTCTCTTATTTACGGAATCACATATAACTGAAACTTCTCAAAAGGCTCTTGTGCCAATTCCAAACTTTACTTTGGCAGATTTTTCTTGAGTCACTCCTAACCTACGAATGAGGAAGCAAGTAGTCTTATTTAGAAAATTCAAGTGCGGCAGCGTAGCGAGATGGCATGTTCTTTGCCAATGACTCTGCTACTGTTTAGACATGTATCCAACCCTAAGTATAAAATGGAAGAGATCAGTCACTTTGAACACTGTTTTTCCAACCTACCTACAAGCAGCAAAACACACTGCAGTCAAACTAGATCTCCTGTTCTGAAAAAATACCTTATAAAATAGTCAATGCCAAACCAGGATGCTGATGACCCAGATTTCAGTTGTTTACTTGAGCAATTAAATCTAACTGAACTTGAAGACTGCTGTCATACTTCCCAGAAGAGCAGCTTAACCAGCTCTAACTTGACTATTCTAAGAAAGCGGTGCTGGAATCACTCGAAGGGGAGAGATCTCTTAATTTATTATAATGTCTTTACTGGGACAGCAAAGCAGGACAGACCACTTCTTAAAAGATGATGATGACATTAAGGATTAGCCCTGATGAGCAGAATCTATGGAGAGTCTCCCTCTGCATTCTAGTATCTAACTGGTATGCTATCCTTACATGTAATTACTGCTTAGTATTACTTTGCACATTTTTTAATTTAAATTTATCTAATGACTTTATTCTTCTGGTACACGCAGAAATTGGTATCTACAGTCTTAAACTGATCTCACAGATTGTGCTACTCAAAAAAATGCATTGCATTTGCCTTCCTTGCTAAGTTACCTACTTGTTACGGTGTTATTTGAGGCAGTCAGTGCTGTCAGAGTATTTACATCCCAGAGGAATATCTGTCTGTCCAGCCCGGCAGATGCTACCAGCTCTTTATCTTTTGCATAGGCTAAGGCTTTCACATAATCCTGCAATCAAGTAAATATAACAACATGAATCGACAGCATTATCCATCTGAAGTCTACATGTTGATATTTAAAAGACTGTCAGTGGTAACAGACAGTATTTACAGACAATGTTTTTCACCTTATGTGTCCTTAGTGTTGACATGCAAAATCCCTTATGTGCATTCCACACTTTAACAGTAGTATCTGAAGAAGCAGATATCACTAAATTGGAAAGAATAAAGAGTAAACTTTAATGATTTATATATTATTTAGAGTATATTCATACTACTTGTTAATTTTCTTTTCAAAAGATTAAAAGAATCATATCTAAACACATTTAAATTTTCAGTAAAACGCCTCCTTACAAGATTTACCCAATTTACAATAAACATCACAGAAATTCACTTCACATGCTGAGAAAAGATGGAAAATAATTAAAGCAGTAGATAATACACTCTTATACACAATTTCTGAATGCTACAGTGCTCAAACATTGAAGTACTTACAAGTTTTACCATTGCAGCAGAGCACAATATCATTTACCCAGTCTGTGTGATGTTCCATAGATGCTATATACGGGTCTTGCTGCAAATTAAGAAGAAAAGTTTATAAGATCTCTTCAGAAATGGAAAAGATTGTGACTATCAGACCCTGCTGTGACATCTTCTTCAATCTTCAAATGGATCAAAAGTTGCCTAACGTAGAGTTGCTTGAAATCACTACTCCAGAATTTTTTTGTGGAAGAAGCTTTGGTGGGGGAGGGGGAATCTCATTAATGTATGTAAATCCCTGAAAGGAGGGTGTGAAAAAGGGAGAGCCAGGCTCTTTGCAGTGGTGCCCAGTAACAGGACCAGAGGCCATGGGCACAAGCTGAAACACAGGAGGTTCTCACTGAACATCAGGAAACACTTTTCTACTGCGAGGGTGACTGAGCACTGGCACAGGTTGCCCAGAGAGGTTGTGGAGTCTCCATCCTTGGAGATACTCAAAATCTGTCTAGAAACAGTCCTGGGCGACCAGCTCTAGGTAGCCCTGCTTGATAGGAGGGTTGGAGCAGATGACCTGTAGAGGTCCTTTCCAACCTTAACCCTTCTGTGATTCTGTGACTACTAATTTAGTTCTCTCTCCTCAATACAACATAGTCTTTTAATGAACTTTCTTTAGTTATTAGATCAAACACAATGGTGAAAGACCAAGAAAGCCTGATCAATGCTTTCTTTTTTCCTTCAAAGTAAAGATAACAATAAAGGGAAGAAGATGACTTAAGATTCTGCCAAAATATCAGAATGTATAAAATATTCATTGACCAAAGTTAACAATCCATCAAAATGTACGTTCATAACTCATAGAACACACACAGTCCTAGTGACTGTATTTACGTCTCCTTTATCACTGGAAATGACATCATTCTGTATTTAACATTTTCTCAGCTGTGACTAGTTCTTTGCAGGATAAGCCCAAATGCAGGTTTGTAAAATCCCACATATTTTATTACAGTATGAGTAATATCAAAATTATTTTCCTATCATAATAACTGGCAGCTGTTAAAAAGCAGTACCAGGTGTATACCTGCTGGCAGCTTACTGGCAGGATAACTTGGAAAAAAGTCAGTTTAGATGCAGGAACCCTCTCTGGACTTACCTTGTGCTGATTGACACTCCATATCCTTATAATAGAGTCCCGGCCTGCTGTGAAGAGTCTATTTAGTGCTGGATCCAGCTGAAGTGCATTTACCCCATTCCGGTTATACTTCTCCACTTCATCCCTAATCACATAGGAGACCTAAAACACATTTACACAAACTCAATTATGGTATTAAGATATTGACTTGGCCATAAAATGCCAGCGTCTAACTTCATCTTTGTGAGCTTCTCCAACAGAAAATACTAAGAGCTTTACAAGCATTAAATAAGTCTGTCAGTTTGAGAGTTCCCTCAGTCATTCCTCCCACCTGAAAATGGGGAAGAATCATAGAGAAGATATCAGCAGTGCTAGAACTGGAGCCCAAAGGATTTTTTAATCATCACAACTCAAGCTTAGATCTAGAGAATCCTTAGTTCAAGTCCCTGCTCTGCACAGATATTCTGGGTGATCCCAGACAAGACCCTGGGTTTGTGTCTCAGTTCTTAGCTTCTATAGCTGGGCTGACAGTATTTCCCAGAATCACAAGGCAGAGGATATGTTCACCAAGGATTACGGAACACTGAAAGATGGCAGATACAAATTCTACGTATCTATTTCAGGTGTTGCTATTATTTTGAAACCATTTTTTTTTTAAGACTACGTACTTTCTAATATAACAAGAAGCACAAATATTTATTGCTCTTTCAGACAGATAAATTATTCATTTAGTTTCTTTCCTTCTGTATTTGACAGTACCATGTGCACAGGTTATTTTAGTGTTTTGTTCAGAAACACTAGCAGAAGATTTAATGAGACATACTGCAAAGGCTACAGCACTCTCCATTATTACTGTTCAGTAAACACAATTACAAGCACTGCAGTTTCTTCAGAGCTACCCCGTTCACACTGCGCTGCACCTCGCCTGATCCCAGGGTTTACACAGAGTTTGTGCATTACTGTAAGGAAAGGCCTCACACGTAGAGAAAAGGAAGGGAAGCTGCTTCTTCCCAGATTCGGAAAAACATCATCAGAATAACAAGGTAAAATTTTAGGCTTAGTATAATCCAATCTTCCCATAGCAGGAATTATTTGGATACATAAGTACCAGTGTTTTGAAAACGTTTTTAAAGAGTAGTCTTGGGCTAGAGATCGGAAAGTGATTTTTCACTCTGATAGCTGCATTATCACAGTAGAAAGAAAATGTTTTCCAGATCAGATCTCAGTCACACCAAATAAAACCAATGACTTAGGCAAAACGTTCAGTGGTCCTTATCACTGAAGAAATACTTTACAGCGTCCCAGATTCTAGACCACAAGAACCATCAGGTGTATTTGGTGAATGTGGGCAACATCCCAAGTGAACTACCCCATCCCAGTGCAGCAGAGCAAGAGAACCGATGCTTCTGGAAAGCACGTGCTGAGCCCGATTCTCCACTGCAAGAGCTCTACAGACCAACACTGGAGGATCGAAATTAAAAGCCTCCTGAATCCTTCTGCCTTAATACTCTCCATTACCATTCCACAAGTCCATTTACTGCATTTAGTATGTTACGTCCCAATGCTCTTAAAGCTCTTCTTGCTCACAGTCTTTGTTAGACACTGATAGTTCTTGTAAAGTCACAGCTCTTCCACCCAATTTCATATTGTGTCCTAGTTTCCAACATTCTCGGATTCTCTCACCCATTCCAGACTCATCCATAACATTCTTGCTATCCATGCTCAAGTCTCTGCCTACACACAGCTTCAGAGACATTACTAAGAGAAGACACCACCAACCACGTATAACAGTGTTATGTTTAAACACTTTAAATACTTGGAAGTTTTTGGGGTTTTTTTTCCGATGCAGAGTGCAAGATGTATGTTCAACTCCTCACTTGGACCTGATCATGTCATGTCTACATTGCCAGAAGACCCACGCAGACTACTTGATTAAAAGAACGTTACAAAGTCAAGGTCTAATGTGACACAAGGCAAAGGGATGGCCATCGAATTCACACTGCTTTCTACTCTTTGAATAAATCCAATGAAAATGTTCAGTTAAAAACACTAAGCGTGAGTAGATAAGACACTAATTAAAGGGATGTCAAAACCTGAAGGTCAGTAGATCAGATTTTATGTTAGTTACTAGGGAGAACAATCTCTTCCTGAAATATAGTGTCAGACTCAAGATCAGCAGGTGCCCTTCAGTTGTTGCTTCTCCAAACTGCTAGCAGGATATTTTTTTAATTCAATTCTTGGATTTCTTCCTCTTTCATCAGTCACCCATCATATTTGTTATATTTTCCAGTATAATACAGAGCTACCTCTTTAATTCCCCTCATAAATGAGACTGTCAAACTATGTTAGTCGCTCAAGAATTTTAAGGGTTTTTTTTTGTTCATCATAATGTTAATTTCTTTATTTACAGGAGTTCAAGTAAAGAACAGCCATAAATAGCTATCTTAAAAATGCAAAAAAGCAAATGGTGGCTTACTCGAGTACATAAGGTACTTGGCAAGTATTGTTTGCATTTTAAGAGAAGTGAGACAAAGACAGAAATTATATTGTTTCAGGGTTAACAAGTCTGTGGTACATCTAAGAGTGAATGCTAGATCTCAGTATCAGATCAGCATTAAATAGAACATCATCTTCCTTTCTAACTGTAAGGGACTTATTGGACACCACACCAACATTTCAAAATGAATTTGAACTGCTGTTTGAGTGGAGAGGTAAGGACAAGACAAACCACTTTTCATGAACAAAATATGAACGGAACACGATCACTATGGCACAAAAGTGGACTCTCTGACTCTCACTGGAAGCCTAATGACATCCTAGTAACTGTCAGGTGCATACATTGAAAATACTTAATAATTTTTTTATTTTCATCCAAAACAAAAAACCTTAACTGGTCCTCTCTTGCAAACCAGTCACTGAGACTGAAATAAAGATTTTATATATTAAAAAAAATAAGACACACAGAATATGTGGCTGAACTAAAAATAACCTCAGAAGACATTTCCTGCACACCACATGGACCCTTTTAGAAAGAGAGGTGTTACACCAGAAGCATCCAGGCTTGTGTTCAAATACACTAATTACATATTAACACAAACAGGGTCAAATTAAGGATCCCACAAAATCTGTTGAAAAGGTGTTGAAATGCCTCTCAACACAGGGAACTTAAAATAAATCAATAAAAGCAAAAGAAACTTGATTTGAAAGACCTGACACTTGTGTAGAGTGGAGGGTAGCAGGTGAGTTCACTAAACCCAAAAGTTCGCTAAGATGAACAGAGGAAGGCTGCTCATAATCCACATCTGGTTCTCCATTATATTCTTATTTCGGGGGAAAAGGGTCAGAAAGTTTTTTTATTTTTGTTTGGGGTTTTTTTACATTTGAGTATCACTGAGTATAAAAATATAAGAGCTATTAGTAAATATAGTAGTTATACAAAGAAACAACAAAAATATAAATATATAATTAAGTAGGTGTGTACACCCACACATCTAAAAAATTTTAAAACAACAGGCTTTTGGCTGAGAAGAAACTGCTGTGATAAAATTCAACTCTGACCCGCAGCACACACATCTTGATCGCTCCGGATAAGGTACCGCATCCTGTCTGGAGAGGACTGTGAAGATCCCCAGGGAGTTACGACTCCGAGCACCAAGGGGCATTCCCTTCAAACAGGGCAGACTGGGAGCATGCTTCCGCTCTGTTCATCGTGTTGATTCAAAAGTCAGTTGCAAATCATGAAGACAATAATGATGTTGATATAGATCACACCCATTTTATGGCCATGATGGTCTGGGAGGGGTGAGATTTGTGGGATATGAAATATTTCAATAATGACCAAGGGCTTTTCTATTTACATTGCTGTAGCTTTTATGAACTCTCGTAACAACTAAGAATCTTTCACTGCAGCAGTGCACAAACATTACAAGTTGATAGACCCTCATTATAAAGAATTTATGGGATTCAGTAGCCTAAGTGGATCAGAACTAATAATTTTAATGACTGCCTGAGAGCTCCAGAGATAAAGCTACTGTCAACAGACACGTTTCACCACATGAAGCCAAATGAATTTCTTACAGGATCTACGACGCGTTTCCTTTACGTGTGAGCGTTTCAGCTGATCCAAGATCTTGTTAACCTTGCTAAATCATACGCCTTATAACAGATTTTGTCTTAATAGATGGGTAGAATCTGCTTTTAAAAATACTACCACACCATCGTGGTGGAGGAAACAGTGAACAGACAAGCTCTGACGACACTCATTCCTTGTCAGCAAGTAGAGAAAAAACTTCAGAGACACAAACGCTACTGTAAGCAATTTTAAAAGTGGTATTTGTCAAAATCATTGAAAGGATTCCATGAGATCTGACACAAATTGCATCAAAAAATCAGAGAAGCAGCAGTCAACCACCAAGGAATAAAAATTAAAATCTATTGCCTTAGTATCCTGGTAGGACAGTTTTTAAATTCAGAACATATTGATATTTGAACTCTTATTAGGTGCTCTAGGTCACAAAAAAAGTAATGGAAGGCATTAAGAAGCTCATTTAATCCTTTTACAATGGAAACAACTTACTGGCTATTTGTTTGCTTAAGTATTATATATAAAATATACCATTTATAAATATAATTTATATATTCATTAAATATAATTTATATATTCATTATAGATAACATATAGAAATATTATAGCTATAAAACATAATAAGATACAGTATACAAAATCTAGTGTGCTTTTAGTAAGTGGTACTATTAACAAAATCAGTAGCCGAAGTATTTTCTAAATGCACAGATTTTTTCTTTCACTACATTCTACTTGCTGTTATAATGTAGTATTAGTGCATAATTGTGACAAAGTCAGTGCAAAAAGATCTTCTTATCTTGCATGAGACTTAAAGACAAAAAGGACTTAAAATTCCTTCAAGAACTGTGTAAGAAAGATGCTGATCCAAACCACTTACAGCAAAATTCCCGAATTCTGTCCACAGGTTTTGAGTGTGGGGGAGACTTTACTCCGGCCAGGCAGCAAGTTTCGGAGAGCAGTTAAAACACAGCCCCTCAAGGGCGGCTACTTTAAGCCACCCGCTGAAAAGTGGCTTTATCTTGACTTAATTCACAGTAAGACACAACAGCAAGTGGCCAACTGTTGGTCATCACACCGG